CTCAAGCTGACCTGCTGTGGCCATACCTCTGACGTCATCTAGCTTGTCTCTGTTCAGCCCTCCTGGCCTCCTTGCTCTTCTGGGAACACAGACACCTTCCTGCCGTAGTGCATTTGCCCTGGAAGTTCCCCTGCCTGGAAAGAACTTCCCCAGACATCCTCATGGACACTCACATGCCCCTCAACTCTTTCCTCAAAGGTCACCTTTGCAATGTGGTGCACACTGACCACCCAGCACAACAGCCACCTTCCCTGTCCCCACTCTTCACACCCTGGATCACCTGCCTCCCTGCACTTACCACCTTCTAGCACTTTCCTTCCTTACTCTGGTTATAGTGTATCTATCTTCTGCCCCTTCCCGCTGTAACATATGCTCCAAAAGGCCAGAGATTTTTCTGATTTTACTTCAGTGATGTTCCCCAGATGCAGAACGATTCAAACGCAGATGAATGAATGATCACTGTATAGCACCTCCTGTTCTAGACAGGATCTTTGTTAACATAGCCACAGGCCAAATGCTGTTTTGTGGCAGCTACAGCACAAGGTCCCCTCACACTGACATCCGGGCTGCCTGTGCTTTTCTCAGCAGTGCTGCTTGTGTTCTCCCTCCCCCACCCTCCTCCCACACCAACCCCCATGCACACTGCAGCACACAATCAGGTTTCTCTCTTCAGGAAAGAACAATTCTAGACTATGGACCCAATTTAACAAAAAAATATGAATCTAAATTAGACTCTGCTTTAGATTCATGAGTTGGGATTGGAGCCAGCACCACGATCACTAGAACCAGGGCAGGGAGAGAGGGCAGGAGAGCAGAGCAGAAGAGGGGCCCTAGAAGGAGGCCAGGAGCTGAATGGGTCTGAAACTTTGTCTCGGAAAAACAGAGACTCCCATGTGCAGGGGCCGCCCTGGGTGATGTGTAACTCTCTGCGGTCACAGCTTTTGTCGGACAAGTTTCCACTGAAGGGACAAGGACAGTGGAGCAGTGAAGCTGACCCAGCTGAGGACTGACTACATAAAGCCCATGATGGACTCAACAGCAAGAGGCCCCGTCCACACTCGGCTCCTCACAGCCTTCTCCATCCCCACCTGCAACAGACTCAGCACAGCGAACATGCGGATTCAGGTCTTTATTTTCTCTCTCAAATTTCAGGAATTGACTTATTTAANTAGAGCAGAAGAGGAGCCCTAGAAGGAGGCCAGGAGCTGAATGGGTCTGAAAATTTATCTCAGAAACAGAGACTCTCGTGTGCAGGGGCCACTGTGGGCGATGTATGAGCCTCTGTGGTCACAGCTCCTGCTGGACAAGTTTCCACTGAAGGGACAAGGACAATGGAGCAGTGAAGCTGACCCAGCTGAGGACTGACCACATAAAGCCCATGATGGACTCAACAGCAACTGGGCACAGGCCCCATCCACACTCGGCTCCTCACAGCCTTCTTCATCCCCACCTGCAACAGACTCAGCAGAGTGAACATGCAGATTCTGGAAGGTTCTCAGCTCTTTATTTCCTCTGTCAAATTTTAAGAAATGACTTATTTAATTAACCCATCAACCCCTCATGCCAAATATTTGAGAAACAAATTTATATTCAGTTTCTTATTTTCAGTAAGAAAGAAAGAGGTTGTAGTTCAGTGCACCATGAAGCTGAGACAGAGGTGTAGACACAAGCCCCACCTCTCTGGAACAGGAAAGATGAGTGGGGAGGGAACACAGGTCAGCGTGGGGACAGGGGTCACGGTGGACATGGGGTGGGCTGTCTCTCCACCTCCTCACATTAGGCTAACAGGGACGCAGACACATTCAGATGCCTTTGCAGAAAGAGATGCCAGAGGCTCTTGAAGTCACACAGAGGAGGCGTGAAGAAATCCCGCATCTCAGTCCCACACAAGCAGCTGTCTCAGGCTACAGAAAACAACAGTAATGAACAAATTCAGTCAGTCATGGTAAGTGATGACGCTCTGAACAGCCCACCAAGCACTGGAAATGTCCCAATCAAAGAATCCATATTACCCAGTCCTATCCACTCTGCCCCTAACCCTGCCCACTTCAGACCCCCAGCATCTCACATTTAGGAGCCACGAGAGACAGATCAGAGCCCTGGACACTGTCGCTACCTGGGTTAGAACAAAAGCAGGACCTGGTCAGAGTCCGCAGGAAATGTGGGACAGGAGGAATTATGGGGTGGGTGAACTTCTCCACACTCCCACCCCCACCACTTACATGCAGCCTGAGAGTAGCTCCTTCTTTTTCCACCTATGGGAAGAAAACTTCCTGTGAGGGGACAGGGAGGAGGCAGAGCCATGAGATCTTAGCAGAAACTCCAAGTCTTGGACCCAAAAGAAGTTTCTAGAACTATGACTACAGACCCATGGCAGGATCAGAAAACACAAGGAAAGCAGGTGTGGGTCCTGGACCAACCACATTCCTAAAGTTTGTCCTTAGCAGGGAACTTCTTCTGACTTGTGAATGCTGGGATCAGGACCCCAACACCGCAATCATCAAGGTGATACAACTGTCCTTCATTGTCACATGTGTTTCACAAAAGATTAAGTGCTGGCACACAGGGCCCCAGGCTGGGTCAACCCATGTGCGGATGGTCCTTCCCAGTAATGAGGCAGGGGAACACTTCTACCTGGGGCTTGAAACCCCAAAAGGGACAAGAAAACCCAGACTTCACTCCTCACCCCTTCCCTACCTGAGCTCAACCTCCTCCACATCACAGCAGCGACCACAGCTCCGACGACCACAGCTCCCAGGATGGCCAGGCAAGCAACGATGCCCACGGTGAGGATGGTGAGCTGGGAATATGGCTCTGGGAAAGAAGGGGAGGTGAGGG